GTTTGTTTGTTTACCTGTTTTACGTCACAGTTAATCAACTTCCTGTTTCCTGACTGCAGCAGTTGCCAGAGTCCAGTCAGAAAAGACCCGATTTAAGAGATAAGAGATGTACACTTGTAAGAGTGAAAGTACATCCGGCTGTGTAACAGTGGCAGTCAAAGTACTTTTTTTTCTTTTTTTTTAAATATTAAACTTTATTGAGAAACAGTTTACAGAACATGTACACAACCAGAACAACATTAACATATGTCAGGGGCTGTAATACAAAGAATTACAAACATTCAATCATTTATAATTACTACAAACAGTAATAGTTTTCACAGCCTTTTTGTTGAGTGATCCATGAATCACTTTTATGTAACATAAAACATCGTTATAGTGTTTAAAATCAGGCTTTTTGTTACTGTGTTTGCATTTGTGAAAATAAAATTTAGCTAAGATAACTAACAAGTTTATTATAAAGTAAACATCTTATTTTTGCCTTTGAAAGAAACAAAATACAACATTTTCCCGTTTCACAGTAAAGTCTTTGTAGAGATGTCAGCAGTGAATCTACTGAAGTCTTTTCCAAATGTTCCAGCGCATGAACAGATCCTGAGGTGCTGCACAGTCAGGACGGCTTCCACAAAACCCACAGCTCACATTTATGTCCCTTTTGAACTTTGTCATGTAAAGATTAGCAGGAGAAAATTTATGCAGTATTTTAAACTTCCTTCACTTTATTGTTACCAGATACTTGTTAGGAATTGTCCGTACTCTTTTCCAGTTAATGTCACTGACAAAGGAATTCCAATAAGAGACCACGTGTGGAATAGTTAGAGATTCTGTCTGGAACAAAGCACCAATATTCTTATTACTTTTACTACGGTTTGTTAGACAGATGCTTCCTATGTGTGAATCTGAAGGGAGAGAAACCTTTAAAAAGTATTCAGTCAAAGAACTTTTACATGCAGTACTGCAGTACATCAGGAAAAACACGTGACCTATCACGAGCTCGACCGTCCTGGCTGTATGCATATGAGCTACAAGCATACTCTGATGGGCAAAGTTAAGTGGCAAACCGTCATACCTCCTTACATTGGTGCTGGAGTTTCTCTGTGACAGCAGAAATGTGCATAAACTACTTATGGTAGGACGTTTTGCCAAAGTAGGATGGTTTGTCAGAACACCGGTTTTAGGCTGAAAAAGGTCCCACGTGACCACAAACCGCGATCAGCAGTAAGGTGTGAAGGAAAGATGAGTTTGCGCGCGCATCACAGTCTCGTGCTTCGTCTTTAATGAGAACTCGAACCTCCTGGCTGTAACCCGAGCCCTTGTTGCCATGGACGCAGCGCAGGTGTGCGCTGGCACCTGACGTTTCCCGCGGCCCCCCCTCCTCCCGGAGGTGGAGGCGGGGGCGTTGTGGCCTCCTCCCCCGGCTCCTCCTCCTCCATCATGCCGGGCAGACAGAAGCAGCTCCTCTTCTCCGTGTGCGGGCTCCTCGGCCTCTCCTGCGCGCTCACGGCCGCGGTGGCCACCGGCCTGCCGCTCTGGCTCCGCGGGGCCGTGCTGTGCCGCACCGGGGCCGAGCTCGTCAACGCCACCGGGGCCGAGCTGGACAAGTTCGTGGGCGAGCTGAGCTACGGGCTGTTCCACGGACAGCGCGTGAAGCAGTGTGGGCTGGGGGGCCGCGCGGCGCGCTTCTCCTGTGAGTGATCGCCGATGGTGCACGCGCACGAGCGGTAATTCACGCACGAGCTGCTGCGAGTCTGTGCACGGCTTTATCAACAACTCTGCATTAATAATAATCAGGTTAATCAATAACCCCGTTCATTGATCTGCAGTAACTGTCGTCAGATTGTTGTTGTGAAACTACAAACTATAAAAATAAAAACACTGATTGATCGGGACAGCAAACTGGAAACATTCAAGATGTCAAACAGATTTCATAGGAACTCAAAGTCCATAAACTGAAGACCCAGGACCAGGACTGAGACCAGGACCAGGACCAGGACTGAGACCAGGACCGAGACCAGGACTGAGACCAGGACTGAGACCAGGACCAGCATTTCTGATTTGGGCTTGTGGAGCCGGAGCTCTGTTGTCACCGGGTGATTTCTGAACCCTGCTGCTGATCCGAGACAAACGCTGAGCTCAGCCTGCGTGACGTTCACGCGTCACCGTCACGCAGGCTGAGCTCGTCTCATTGGCTCGTACACACGGCCAGCAGCAGGCGTCCTTCATAAATAAGGTTAAAGGTTAAATGAGTCCAGCTGCAGATGTGAAACCACTGGCAGATAATCTTTTCATTTGTCACGTGACTCTGTGGGACAGGAAGCTGCTCCCTCTGAGGTCCAGGGGAGCGGCGGCGCGGCACTAACGAGGTTTCCGCCTGATTGCGTGGGATCTGCGAGCAGAGACAAAGCCGCTCTGTCCCTGCAGGACCTGCGTCTCTGCTTCAGAGCTTTTCGTTTCACGCCAGGACGTTTGTCAGCCTTCGTGGGTGTTACAGCAGTGGGGGTGTCACAGCTGAGCTTAGCGGGGAGGCGGAGCACGCTGCGGGCTCCAGCAGCTCGTGTTCTCTTAAATCGACTCTCTTACTAAATATCTGACAGTGTTCACGTCCTGTGTCTGTCACACACTTCCTGTCTCTGAGTTTACAGATTTCTGTCACGTTGGCGCTCTGTTGATTCTCTGTTTGTCACTTCCTGTGTCGGTCTTGTCTGTTGTGTGTCAGCGTGTCTTCGCCTGCTGTTTGACCCTCTAACAGGAAGTGCTGTCTGTGTGTCCCGAGGCTCGGTGCCCTCTGTGGTCGCTGCAGACACGCCTCTCACTGCTGTCTCTTGCTGTCTTCCAGTCTTCCCTGACCTCCTGAGCGCCATCCCCACGGGCCTCCACGTCACCGTCATCTTCTTCTGTGGTGTTGTGACGCTCTTCTCCTGCGTGGCCACCGGCTTCTTCTTCTTCAACGCCTTCGGCCGACCCTACGAGACGCTGCAAGGCCCCGTGGGACTTTACCTGTGGACCTTCATCACCTGTGAGAACCACACCCTCACAGCTTCACCTGCTAGGATAAGATAAGATGAGAACAGCTGTTCGCTAAAATACGACCAAAGGCAAGACTGTTAGAGATGGGGGGACAGTGTCACTGAAGTGCATGCTGGGACAGGTGGCGGGCTCCCTGTGAGCCTGTAGCGAGATATAAAATATGGATGGTCTGAAATGAGTTCAGGGAGGATCACAGACAAACAGCCTGATAACAGAGCCACGGGCAGGGGGGGGTGAAGCAGGCGGGGGGGGCCATCATTAAGACCCAACGATCCTCGCTCATTTCCTCCTCCGGGTTCATTTCACTTAATCGGCCCGTCCAATGTGTGCCTGCAACCGCAGACCCCAATTAGTGCCGGGCAGCGTCCCCACAAATGCTCCAGTTTCACTCACAGAGAAGCAGAAGCCTCGCAGGCCGCCACGGCGCCTGTCAGAGGCCACGCCCCCAACGATGCAAACTTGAACCTTAACACAGTTTGTACAGGTGTGTTGTAGAAACAGGTGTTTCACAGACACCAAGCAGCTTATGCATCAGCGGCCTGTGTGCACTAACTCACTGCTGCCCCCGCTGGACGGGGGAGGAACTGCAGCCTGTGCTCCTCACAGTGGGTTGGTCCAAACCCTGGAGTGGGGACTGTCAGTCATGTGACCTGAGCTCAGCTGAGCCACGTTACCATGAGCGCCATCACGGGGTTTATTTCCTCTGATGACATCATCACTCCTTCTGTTGAGGTCTGGTTCGCCTCCTCTGGCCTTCTCAGAGGTGGAGGGGGTGTCTAAGGGTGCTGGGGTCAGAGGTCAGCCTGATGGTTCCTGTCTGTGTGTCCTGCAGGTGTCAGCAGCTGCCTCGTCATGGTCCTGTTTGTGTCGGAGGTAAAGCTCGGTCGTCTGTCCGAGCGGATCGCCAACTTCAACGAGGGGAATTTCATCTTCCAGACGTACGCCGAGCGCTACGACCGATGCTTCTGGCTCTTCTTCCTCATCTTCCTCCTTCAGGGGCTGAACGCCCTGCTGGTCCGACTGGCGGGAATCCAGTTTCCCTTTCAGCAAAACAAAGAGGTGGAGCTGAGCGGCGGGGCGGCCGACCTCATGTACTGAGAGGAGCGCGACTCAGCGGGAAGACGGCCCGAACGCCAGACTTCATCAGCCGCCACTTCCTGTCGCTGCAGCTCTGTCGGAAGGCTTTCCTTCATGTTTGTTCCACGCTGACGAAGCCGAACCCTCGCTCTTCATCGGCGTGAGGGCGTTTCCCTCGGTAACAGCGGTGACGCTGAACTACGAACAGTTGGTAGATTTGAAATGTTACTCTGTGGTCGACGACGCTGTCGCGCTCTGTGTCTTCATCTGTGATGTTTAGGTCCTCGCTGGCTCACTCGTCCTTTAGCTTCTTGTGTTTCACTGATCGCGATGACGATGCGTCCGGCGCCGAGCCCGTCCTGATCCGAGGACAGGCGACGCCTCGGCGCTGCCGTGTTGTTGTGGGAACGTGATCGTTGAACGCAGAGGAAGGTTTTGGACAGTGAACCATTGAAGTGTGTTTCTGTGCATCACGAGCTCCATCTGCCTGAAAATAAAACTATCTGAGCGTTTCTGCGTTTGACTGACTGGCTTCACATCTGGATTTCTTCTGCTCCTGCAGCTCTGTCACTGAGACTCACATTGCTCTGAGATCTTTCTGAGGGCAGAGGTCACCAGCAGAGAGCCTGGAGGTCAGAGGTTACACTCCCTGTGGAGGTCCTCACCTTTGATGAGGAGACAAACGTAGGACTTCATTCTTTTACAATATAAAAGAGTTTATTTCTGTGACCTCTAACTGGCCGATCAGATGTTTACTGGTCCAAATACAGAAAGCCATCAGTTGCCATGGTGATGTTCTCATGTTTGCACATCATCATGAAAGCAGAAATAACCCTTGGCAGCGTTCACACGGCGTGCTGAATCCTGAGCAGCTTCACCCGCGACAGCAGTGATCAGGTCGGCATTAGCGGTGAGAGCCTTTGGACTGAACCTCATGGCGTGTGTTGGCTTTAATGGGGCCATGATGGTGGTGCTGCAGGGCGCTGTGATGAGGCCCGCCCCCTGCAGTGACACCGAGCCCGCCCTCCGTGTGTGGACGTGCTGACAGAGCAGGCCGGCCTGTCTGTTGTCCTCTTGTTTCCACTGTGTGTTTAATGGTGGCGTCCTCTTCAGCAGCCGGCCAATTAAAGGCCAGGATTTCATCCGGCTGATGGCAGACGGGAGCTCAGCTGGAGAAAACTGGATCTGCTGACTTTAAACTTTAACCACGTTCAGCCTGACGTCCAGGCAGGACACGGGGTGGTTACTGCTGCAGAGCTGCAGCTGAATGAGCACGTGCGACCGCGAAACCCGTGAGCGCGCCTCTGGTGGCCTGACGTGAACGCCGCAGACGCGTCAGGGAGTCGAACACGGAGACGTCATCAGCTGAAACACCCCAGGGAGTGAGAGCATCACTGATGATGTGCCGTTTGTGAAGGAACAGTGACGCCCGAGGGGATCCTGTCACAGGTAATTGGCTGACCTGGGGGACGGCAGTCAGACGGTGGGAGGTAAAAAGAGCCGCTCAGACGGTCCGGCCTCGGACACACAGCTTCCCGTCACTCACTGCAGGTAACACGCTTCCTCACAGCGGGATCGCCGAGCTCCGATTCACAGGTAATACTCCCGGTTTTCCTCTTCTCAGTGGACAGCGGCGCTCCGAGGATTCAGGATCACGCTGATATATGAACATAGCAATGACATGTAGGTGCACTTTGGTGTGGAGCAGGTCAAGGTGACGATGATGATGATGATGGTGCTGAAGTTAGAGGGTGCTGCAGATGTTGCTCTTATGAGAAGAAGCAAGAGGCTTCCTGCGACTGACGGTGCAGCTGCCGTCACTGTTGGAGGGTCACTGAGGGTCACTGAGGGTCCTGAGGGTCACTGAGGGTCCTGCAGATCAGGACGTGGTGACGTG